ACTGGAAGTATGTATAAATTTTTGAATGGAAATATCTGAAACCCTCTGAGTTAGTCTTGTATTTGAAATAAACTTAGGAGCATAACGTTTTTGTTACTATGAAACAAAACTGCTTCAAGATAACACTGAAAAGTTATAGTTGATATACATATTATATACAAATACACATAGAAACTCTCAAACAGCAAGGATATTATGAGCTCTTTTAAAGCAAAAACTAATATTCTAGTATGTATAAATTCCAAAGCATGATTCTAAATAATTTGAGCTTTTAAAATCAAAATGGAACAGAAAAAAAAAAATTGTTCAGCAAAAGCACTTTTGTTTCCTCCCCCGTGAAGTATATCACCAAATCACAGGATGACTGAGGTTAGAAGAGACCTCTTGAGCTCATCTGGTCCAACCCCTTTGCTCAAGCAGGGACACATAGCGCCTGTTGACCAATATCATGCTCAGATGGCTTTTGAGTATTTCCAAGAAGGGAGACTCCACTACCTTTCTGGGCAATCTCTGCCAGTGCCTTGTCACCCTCACAGTAAAATCAGTGCTTTCTTATGCTCAGACAGAGCCTCTTATGTTTGTTTGTGATGACTGCCTCTGGTTCTGTCACTGAGCACCACTGAAAAGAGCCTGGTTCTGTCGTCTTTGCACTCTGTCTTCAGGTATTCATGTGCCCCTGAGCATTCTCTTATCTACATCAGCAAACTGTCCCATCAAACAGGTCATTAATGAAGATGTTAAACACGACTAGACCAAGTACTGACCCCTGGGGAGCTGTGCTAGTCACTGGCATCCAACTAGACTAGGTGCTGTTGAACGCCACCCTCTGGGCTCAGCTGTTCTGACAGGTTTCAACCCACCTCAGTGCTCACCCAGCTCATACATCAACAGCTTCTTCTATGAGGGTCTTATGGAAAAGAACATCAAGGGCCTTACCGTAGCTCAGGTAGACAACATCAACTGCTCATGTGCCAGGCCTGTTATTTCATCACAGAAATTTATCAAGCTGGTCAAACTTGACTTCACCTTGTTGAAGCCAGGCTACTACTACTGGTTTGCTCTTTCTTACTATACCTAGAAATGGTTTTCAGCATCAGTTGCTCAATCACCTTTCCAGGCGTCAAGGTGAGGCTAAGCAGCCTGTAGTTCCCTGGGTCCTCATTCTTGTCCTTCCTGAAGATAGGAGTGACATTTGCTTTCCTCCAGTCTTCGAGCACTTCTTCCAGTCACCATGATAGATCAAAGATTATCAGGGCAGTCTCGCAATGACATCTGACAGGTCCCTCAGCAATTGATGGTGCATGCCTTCAGCACCCATGGATTTATTCATGAACAGTTTGCTTAAGTATTCCCTAACCTGATCCTCTCCCAAAAAGCAGTACATCTTCCTTGCTCCATCCTTTCCCTCTGGTGTCTGCGACCCGGCATTCCTGACTTGCTATATTCAGCACTTCAGCCTTTTTCATGCCCTGTGTAATCAAGTCCCACACTTCATTCAGCAATGGGCCTGTATTTTCCCTAGTCTTCCTTTTGTCTCCTATGTACTCATAAAAGCCCTTCTTACTATCTTTGACATCCCGTGGCACATGTAGCTGAATTACCAAATTTCACACTGTTGTCATCAATGATATTTCATTTTTGTCTCTGCACATCTTAAAGGTTCCCTTAAAATGAATTCATATTGTAAAAATTTGAAATACATTAGAATACTTAGTAACTAACTCTAGAAAAAAAAGAAACTACTTATTTTCCAAGTTATTATAATATAAAGGTAGGAAAATTATAATTAAAACCCAAAGTAATAGTTTAAAATATTTTTTAAACTTGTCTAATCAAAATGCATGAAAAAAACGCAGTGTTTTAAACATTAACATATATAAGCACATGTTGTTTCTACATATGTACAGCTCCAGCCAGTTTTCATGCAATTTGCATCTGCGCATTTGAGAGCATAATTTCTCATATATATATTTTTAAATAAATTTTAATTTTAGTAGAAGACAAAATTTCTAGTATTTAATCTGCAGATGACATTTTGATTACCTGACTTAATTACTCACTCATATAACAGTGCATTGTTCCTAGTGTAGGAAGTTCACATGAAACTTCATTCATCACAATATATTAAGACCTAGGCTGAATTTGCAGGGTGTGTCTTGTTTGAAATTCCTGTGCTGTGGTTTCATCACCATGCTTATTAAGTTCCTAGTTAACCAAAGACTGCAAACCAAAAGGTCAACATTTAACAAATTCCCAGGTGGACAATAATGACAGCCTTCAGTCATAGTAAAACAGACATCATATCCATTTTTATCTCATTTTAGAGCTGCCTACCTGGAGGAGTGTGCCTGCACAGCAAGTCACAGGCTGGTATACTACTAATGCTAAATTCTGGATTTGGCCTTCTCTGGCTACGATGTACTTTTTGCTTGGAGCAGCAGAGAAGTTTTGACACAAATCTTAGTTCTCCTTTGCTAGCTGATAGTTGGTTTCACTAAGTAGTTTTGGTGTGTACTAGCAGGGAGTTACAAGTGGAATCCTGTCCAGGTGCATATCAAGCAATTTCTAATTATCTCTGCTTAGGAAGACATAAAGCTCAAATAAAACTTATACAGCTTTCAGCCAGGGATCAGAGAAAATCTAACCCAACAGAAAACTTTAAAACCACATACAGCATAGATACATGGGTCTAAGCACCAAATACACTGCTCTAATAATCTGTTCCCCTTGAGTCCAATTACCTGCTTATGCAGACATTATTCATACCTCCTGATATCTTGCTGCAACCTTGCATGTTACTGACCTTCAGCATGAAATCCAAACCTGCAGCTCTATTAGTTCACTGCTTAGGAATAAACATTGCAGATGCTACCACTACACCTCAATTGGTTATTAATGTTTCAGGTAGTTTCATACGTACTGTATTGATCTTCTTGGAATTTCTGCGCTTGTGCTAAATTCCCACACTTTGACATTTGTGACTTTTGTAGATGCAACAAAAAAATAGTTCAGCTGAATTATTTGGTAAAGAAAATAACTATACAAAACTACAGTGAACACTCTGAAATTTTGTTTATCTAACATACACTTCATGATTTTAAACTTTAGAGGTAATACAGATGCTACTATTACCTTCAAAATTTTTTTCATTGTTAACACGGCTAAGGCTACTTACTGACAAATGAATAAAAATACCTACAAAAGTGTAACTGGTTTTGTTGTTTGTTTTTTTAATTATTTCCACCTTTTGACGTTTTTGAAATAGAGCCAAGTAAGAGTTTTGGGAAAGCTGTTCCTCTAGACACTACTATGAGGCTCCTCACATGAAATAACAAGTTAATAAGTCATTAACACAGCTGATATTCAATTTTCTTACCTCTCCTTCAGATACAATACCAGTTATGACCCAGCCTTCTATAAAATCTCAATACTTTCTGCTCTTTTATATTCAGAATTACAGAACAGCTTACAGCCACATCTCATCCAATTGAAAGCATGCATTACACACCTCTCATCCTGTTTCACAAAACACACACCATGTAATATGGCAGGAACACACCCTGATTTTTGTTCCTTTGACATACACTTAAGCGAGATAGAATAATTTTATATGAAAGCAGTATTAAGCTGTGATTTAAGCTTTCAACTCCTCTCTTACTCCATCCAAAATCCTGTGCTGCTTCTCAGTATTTGCTCTCCACTGAGCATTAACATGTTTAAAATTTCATAACTACTTGACTCTATGGTGAGATTTACAGCCTTGTTGCTCAGATTCTTCAACATTCGGAATGTACCATACATACAAGGACTGCTCACAAAAGTACCTATCATGTCCATACAACTGTCATCTGCATGAACATGATCATGTACATTTGATGTACCTTTTCTGAACATCTGAGTTTCCAAATTAAGTTGATGTATATACACACACAACCTCAAGAGAACTTTCAAGTGGAAAAAAAGAACAACAAAAACCAACAACCAACAAACCAAACTGAAACCAAACCCGGTTTGCTTAATACTGGTCACACTGTATCAAACAATTCACTTTGTATTCCCAAGCAACACAAATACCATTTAGACCCTGTGTAAGGACTTGAAGCATGAAGAGCTGAAGAATCTTAACTAATCATTCTGTATGTATTTGTGTAACCATTTTTTACTGAACAATCCTACTGGGAAAATAGTAATCACAGCCTAATCCACCTAAAGTTGTTCCTTAGTAATTGGTATGTAATGCATTTTTCTGCAGTTATGAAACTCCAGACCTTCAGAACTTATGTTCTACTCAGGACGGACACAAAGCGAGAAAAGCAACTTAATTTAAAATTAAAGCAAAGACATTATTTTAACTGACACTCAATTTATCTTTCAAATAATTCTCCCTACAGTTTTCTATTTCAGAATCAAGTTTAGAAAATTATACACAAGAGAAAGAAACTAAACACCTCTACTACTTGAGAAAGTCTGCTCAAACTGATCGATTTTAAATCAAGAAACAAGAACTATAGTCTCAGAGATTTAGAATGCAGGAGGAAAGAGATGGCATAAAAAAAAATATATGCCCTCTTTGCAAAGAAGTATCTTTAATGTCTAAGACACTTAAGAGGTAAATCAACCATGAATGTATGATAACTAAACTAATCGATGTTTAAATAACTGTTTCCAAACTTTGAGAAGTGAAGTTAAACTTTCAGATTCATGCATAGAATGGAAAATCATTACCCTTTCCTATTACAGCACACTACCTAGTAGTAAATCAGAGCAATCTGCATCACAAACATCGTACGTAGTGGGGGGAAATTATACTTTTATAACAATCTCTTGCTTCAACAGCATAAACACCTTTAAAAACAGGGGTTGCTGACTTTTTAATGTTTATATTAAATGCTAATCTAAGTATTTATCACATTAAAAACCAAAACAAAAGTAAAAAACAAATCGAAATACAGTCCAAAGAGAGTATTCTTAACTTTTCACTTAATTTCTTCCCTTCTTACCTTCTCTGGAGGTGCAGGAGGGTGAAATCTCTTTGCACAAACTAGAAATGCATCAGGCTGTGGTTTGCCACGCTTCACCTCAGGGTCATCTCCCAGCACGATATGATGAAAAAGACCAAAGAACTCTTTGTGTCTGACTGTTTTCATCTGAAATGACTCTTCAGATGAGCTGGTGGCAACAGCCATGGGTATGTTGTGTTTGTATAAATGCCGAATCATTTTATCAACCCCTGCAAGACAAATATACATTTTGCTTTTTATATGATATACATATATGTAGATACCTCTATTAATATTACAACTACTTACAATATATTTAACAGTATTTCAACAATGTTGTCTTACTGAATGTAACAACCTATTTCAAACACTTAAGTGTAAAAGAAAACTCTTGCTATATCCAAAACATTCCCTTCTCCACCCAAGAGTCACAGAACATTCCTCAAGGTACGTATTTGTTCTGTCATCAAATGATGCTTTTCTCAAAACATGCCAAAAATGGGTACAGCATCATTGCACCCACTAGAAGCTCATTAAGCAACGTCCCCAACGTTATGTATGTTTATTATTTCAAACTCTCTGTGAGAGAAAATCACACAGGGGATTTTATTTTCTACGCAGTTCTGCTCCTGAAAAAAAAAAAAAAATCAAAATCAAAATCAAAGAAATATACTCTTCTCACTCAATGGTACAGTTTTAATTTCTGAATCAGGTATCAAACTGGTGTAAACCAGCCCCTAAGACAGCTTGGTTTTTCCCTTTTGCAATTACTAAAGCAAGCAACACTGGGCAGAGGAGAGCTGTCAGTCACAGTTGTTATACCAGATCTTTATCTATTAATGCTGTGAAGCCAGAGTAATGAACACCTCAAGCCTAATGGGCAGACACTTCAATCCAATCTTGTCTTCTCTGGAAGGTTAATGCAGTGAATAGTGAAAACACAGCAGCCTATGTAAGAGGGAAACATACTTCGTTATTTGGTGCAAGTTTTGAGTTTCTGATGCAGAGGCTTCAATGCTTCTTCACTGGAGCATTTTATATGCTGGATATCTCCCCCATACAAAACAATTAGCAGTGTCTAATGGAGAACAGCAGTGGACATCTGCTCTTTACTAATTCACAAGAGAAAATCCCTCCATATCTGTAAGTCATTTCAGTTCTGCCTCTTGGCATGAATCCAAAGTGTGTTGGACACCAGATTATAAATTTCAGATAGATAAGCCTTCAGTTGACTTTTGACTCTTTCAATCAACGTGACAATGATTCTCTTTTTTTCATTTTCCAACTGCACGAATTCTTATCCTACTTTTCATGCCTGATTAGACTAAACTAATCTTATTGCCTTCCTCCTGATTCAGTCATACTTATGTCTGGTCCCTGCTCCCTCAAAACTCCTACTCCTCATGCCTATTTAATTCTTTCCTTTGCTACTCCAGCATCTCTGATCTAGGCTTCCCAATAATTGGGCAACAGTCATATGCCCAACTTTAAGAACTTACTACTGACAATAATGTGTGTAGATTAGCAAATAGGCACATTAACTAACACATCTACTTGGAAGTATGACCTGCAGATGTGGCCCTGTGCAGTTTTCTTCTCTATTCTCCAGAATTTAATCAACCAAGTAATAACTGACATTTCCAGCTCCATGTTTGTATTTGAGGACAGCCTTTAAAATATAAATACATGCACTTCTGTGATACTAGATGGCCAGTTGGACAGAAATAACAAGTGCTATTCCTCCTCCAATGCCAATGCATCATCCATTTAAAAGCCTTTCTATGGCCCCTTAAATGGTTATATTAATAATAAGCAACTGCACTTTTTTTTTCCAAATGATGCTATTCTGTCCTCTCACTATGATGCTAAATACCAGTTTACTTTTTATTCCATATAGAGATCATGTTTTCATTCTGAAACATGGGAAGTAAATTCATATTAAATTAATGGAAGTATTAAGATATCTTAATGTAAACCTGTAGCTAGCATCTCTTTTTTTAAAAATAAAATGCATTCATTCAAAGGAATTTGTTCTAAATAATCTACAACATTTATCAAGGCTAGCATATTGTGCGTGTGGTAATACACAGGAGTGCAAAGATTCCACAAGAAAGAAGACTTGTATCTCTGACACCCTTAGTATGACAGTTAAGTTTTCTCTGAAGTTGTGTTCTTTACAGGCAGATAATTTTCTTCAGTCCCATTACATCACAGCTTCAGTTCATCTGTCACAGGGTATGTTTACTCTATATTTCTGTTGGAGGTAGCCAGACACAGAAAAGCACTGTAGCAGAAAGGTTATTTCTTCAAGGTTCTCTGTTATATACCCCCAGCGCATGTCATGATTTCTGTAAATGCATGTGCGTGTGCTTTGCCTTTTTGGTTTCCCTCACTACAAGTGAGCTGAAATGCAGCTGTCCCTAATAGCTCCATATAGCAAAGATATACATTATTCAGAAAATGCAATCTTATAAAAAGATGCCATTTTAAAATTATTATTATTTGCATATACAAACATAGCAAGCCAGATTAAAAATACAAGCAGAAAATCAGCTTCATGGAAAAAAAAAAAAATAAATTGCATATGGAAGAATAGGTAGCGTAACTTAACCAGCTCAACACAGTAGCAATTGAAAAACATTTTCATTCCAGGTTTGTTACTTCTTTGTAAAAGGTACAGATCAACAAAATAATGTCTTCGTTTGCATCAATTACCACCAGTATAGCTGTAGACACTGCCACCACATCAAATGACTGGCACAAATATTATATTAATTTAGCATATAATTCTTCATTAGGAAAATAGTACCTTTCTTAGTATCTTTCTTGTGTGGGGTGGTTTGCTTTTTGGTGTTTTGTTTTTGTTTGTTTTTTTACAGAAAACTACAATAGAAGAGGAAGTGGGGAACTGTTTTAAACCTCTTTAAGAAACTGCTCCTTTTAATAAACTTTGTCATATCCCCTACAGCCACATAGTTTTTCTATCAAAAGAAGATTTCAGTTACATAACAAACAAACAAAAAAAACTGTCGTGGTTTAAACCCAGTCAGGTAATTCGCTCGCTCACTTCCCCCCCTTTTCTTTCCCTCCCCCTGCTCTCGGAGGGACGGAGAGGAGAATCGAAAAGAATGCAACTCCCACGGGTTGAGATAAGAACAGTTTAGTAACTAAGGTATAACACAGATCACTACTGCTACCACCAATGATAATAATGATAAAGGAAATAACAAGGGAAGAGAATACATCATCTCACCACCAGCCGACCGATAACTCGCCCCCCCCAGCCCGACCAAGCTCTGACCGATACCTCCTCCAACCCTGCAGTCTCCCAGCCCTCACGGCTAACTCCAGTTACATCCTGGGCATGACGTGCTGTGGTATGGAATACCTCTTTGGTCAGTTTGGGTCAGGTGTCCTGTCTCTGCTTCCTCCTGGCTTGCCCTCCTCCCTGGCAGAGCATGAGGCTCACAAAGTCCTTGGCCAAACCAAAACATCCTTGTTATCAGCTCTGTTCCCGAGCTGAAAGTCAAAAAATTGCACTGCACCAGCTACCAAGAAGGGGAAAAATGACTGCTACTGCTGAACCCAGGACACAAACAAAAACCCACATAAAAAATTAGTGGCTATGAAGAAGTATGGTGAAAATTCCTGTAAACTCACTAACTTCTAACTTACCTATAGCTACCATGTCAGGGATTGAGGCCCATGTATCAGAGAGGGACCCATCTGCTAGGCTTTCTGGGACTGTCATCCACCCTTCCCCCTGAAAGCTTAGCCACATGCAGCAATTTTATTTAATTTTTTCCTTCTGCATCTTTGATTAAAAGCAGTAGATAAAGAAAGACCAAAAGAAATAAGGATCTCTGTTTTCCAGCCCAAGGGTACCATCCTCATCTGCTACATGTAACAGTCATAGCCAGTACAACATAAATTCTTCAAGTAATCATAAAAAAAGGAATAAATGTCCCACATCACTGTGCTTTATTTCCAAATGTACTCTTTCATTTCAAGTAATCAATAAGGTAAAAACTATTTCTTCATCTCTTTAAACATTAAGTTTTGGAACAGACACAGCAGCTTACTGTCATGTCATCTTACTGGGCAATCTGTTCGAGCATTTCATCATCCTCATTGTAAAGAATTTCTTCCCATTATCTGATCAAAATCTACCCTCTCTCATCTTAAAGCCATTCCCCATTGTTCTATCATGACATGCCCTTATAAACCCCCTCTCCAGCTTTCTTGTAGGCCCCCATTAGGTACTGGAAGGCTGCTATACAGTTTCCCCAGAGCTTTCTCTTCTCCAGGCTGAACAAGCTTAAATCTCTCAGCCTGTGTTCACAGAAGAGATGCTTCAGCCCTCTCACCATCTTCATCCACATCCCTCTGGTGTTTGGGGCCCCAGACCTGAACACAGTACTCCAGATGGGGTCTCACCAGGGTAGAGCGGGAGAATCGCCTCCCTTGACCTGCTAGCACATCTTTTGTTGCAGTCCATGGTAAAGTCAACTTTCTGGGCTGTGAGTGCACATTGCCAGCTTATGCTGATGAGAACAAACATCCCCAAGTCCTTCTTCTCCGGGCTGCTCTCAATCCATTCTCTGCCCAGCCTGTATTTGTGCCTGGGATTGCCCTGACCCAGGTACAGGACCTTGCACTTGGTCTTACTGAACTTCATGAGGTTTGCACAGGCCTACCTCTAAAGCCTGTCAAGGTCCCTCTGGATGGTATCCCCTCACTCCAGTGTTTTGACAACACCACAGAACATGGCATTGTTGGCAGACTTGCTGAGGCCACTATCCATGTTGTCAACACAGATTCTGAACAGCACCAGTCCCGATACTGACCCCTCATCCATCCGGAGGTGGAACTCTCTGTGCTTCAGGCCTGCCCTCTATCTAAGTGGGGGGGGCTGACATTACTCCTGGCCCTGCACCCACCTCGTCAGCTGCTCTCATGCAAGCTAACAACTTCAGGAAAAGAAGAAAACAGCTTAAGCCAGCAGAAAGGAGTTATTTCTTCTGAGACCACAGATGGATTTTAAAGGAAGAGATCAGCACATTTGTTCTAACAGTTGCTGAAAATCGTATGTATATATAATTTTATTTAAAAAAAAAAGTATTATTCCTCTATTAGACTCCTAATATTGTGTTTGTTCTTTTTAGATTCAGCTAAAACCACAGTGACTAATACACTGGATCAACTCAAACTAAAATTGAGACTTATACAA